TAGATGTAGCTAAATATACTAGTAGATGTAGCTAGATATGCTAGTAGATGTCGCTAAATATGCTAGTAGATGTCGCTAAATATGCTAGTAGATGTAGCTAAATATGATAGTATAAGTAGCCAAATATGCTAGTAAATGTCACTAAATAGGCTAGTAGATGTAATCTGCAGCCACTTCTTCAGCTCGTCCTTCCTTAAATTATCTTGAGCAAATCAGAAGTGATGTCTCAGACAAACAAAGACCATATATTACATTTCACCTTAATTAGTGACCTTGACCTTGAAGCTGGGGTGATGAAAAGTTTACATGACACTTTGTCAAGTGATGATGCATACTGTATGTGTATGACTTTTTATTAAATAACTTTGAGCAGAAGTTATGGCCCCGACAAGAGATGTACGTATGGACGGGTGATATGTTCATCTTTTGACGGGTGTATGATAAAATTTAGGCTTTAGTTGTCCGACAGTCCAAATCCGATACTGATTCATATCTTATGTTGCATTAAATACTCAAGTTACGGAAAAATAAAGAATACTGTATATCCACTCGTTTGTTTTGAAGTTTTAGTGACAGTCCATGTATTTCAAGCTACCTGTGACTGTGAGAACTGCTTCGTTTCTTCATGCTGGTTCTTGTTCCTGGCTACCAGGAGCCTTCCAAACCGGGGCGGACGGACAAGCAGGAAGTTGATCTCATTCCCGTCCTCACTGGTTTTAGCCCCGAGGTTGGCTCTTGTTATGGGCTGCCGAGTTCCTGGAAAAACACACGCAGGTTCAGTTCTGTGAGCGTGGAAAATGTCACAGCAAACACGGATAACAAAAAAAAAACGACCCTGTTCAAAGTGCCATGATGCTGCTGTGAACACTCGCGTCCACAGAAGGGTGCTGTTCACCAAACGCTACCTCGTTTCACGTCCAGTTGCTGCATCTTTACCATGGACAGGGACTAAATGATCAGACCTGTTCATATGAACTGTTTGTGCTAGAAAACACATCAATCTGAGGAGCTCCACGCTTCATTCAGACGGACGGAAAGTTACAGATGTTCAACACGGTCCTGACAAACTGTCACGCTAAATACCTTAAGCCTGCTCATTCATTCATTCTGCCCACGCTGTGCTCAGCAAATCACTCCCACACCCGCCATTACTGCAGCTCCTCTCTTCCACCTTCCTACTCTCCATCTGCATCGGCCTCCATCGCTTCTTTTGTCTTAATTTCATTTAGTCTCTCAGATGATTTGATCCTGTAGTGATCTGCTTCAAACACAAACCACCAGTTCATGGCTAAAAAATAAATCTGGAAGAACTTTGACAACTCACCTGGAAACACCACAAGCTCCTCCTTCGTTACCATGGTGATGGTGAGAGGCCTGGCTGTGACGGCAAACAGATAGAGAGGTGATGTGTGCTCTCCATCGGTCACGGTGAAACTGAAACCGCCGGACTCTTCACCTGCAGGAGACGGAGAGGTTCGTCTGTTACCTGCCCCAAACTTTGAATACTCGTTAGAAAGGAGGAATGGGATTAAAACTAAAGCCTGTAATGCTTCGCTTGGATGTTCAGACAAAGTGTTTATCGCAGTAAATACACAATTAAATTACTCCTTTTCGCAGCACAACCTTAGTAAATCTGCTGTAAATTTAATCAGTCTGAGAAATAAGGATTATTTTACAAGTTGAATCAATAAAATGTCAAATTTTAAATCCCAAACTTTTAATATAATAACAACAATACTATTTATAGTAATAATAATATTTGGCAGCTCGGTGGTCAGTGTCGCGGCCTTGTAATGCTGAGGTTGTAGGTTCGAGCCCGGGTTGCGTGAGGAAGAGAATCCGGCGTAAAACAATTCTCAAAACGGACTTGCGAGTTTGCTCGCTGTGGTGAACTCTGAAGAAGAAAGCAGCCAAAAGAAAGTTTATAATAATAATAATAATAATAATAATAATATTTATTGACTTTCTTCTAAATAGCCCAACAGTCATCAGGCAGACAAAAAAGCAGAGTAGAAAGTAGACAATGGGTTAAAAAGACCCTTCCTTTCCAGTTTGGAAGAGAAAATTATTAACTTTCATACAATGGAAGCATGGATTATTTGTATTGTTGGGGATTTAAGTCCATAAATCCTATAGCAGTGAGAGACACGGGAGGTAAAAGAAGACAAAAACGCTCACGTTTTGATGTAAACATTGTAAACAAAATGTATATTTGTGGAGGTAGGAATATTTAACAAAACTTTTAGAATACTTAGGATAACTCAAACGTTGTGGTAAAAGTATGTGACATCGTCACTCCAAGTTGAACATTCAGACTCACTTAAATATCGTACTTTTCGGCCTATAAGTTGCAGTTTTTTGCATAATTTGCATGCCCTGTGACTTATAGGCCGAAGCGACATATTTATGGATTTTTTCCCATATTTATAAACCAATGTTTGGCTGACATATGACTGTTTCCATTCATTCAGACTGAAAAAAATGAGCAGTACCACTTTCAGTCACTTGATGGCAGCAAAAGGAGTAATAGAGTAATAGTAGTATGGCATGTTGTTGTATCATGCAATCGGAAAACGTGGCTAAAATGACAAAGTCTAAAAAGTTCAAGACAAACAAATGGACTTTATTTATTATACTTTATATTTTATTGTTTGTACTTTTTACTTATTTGAATTTACCATGTCCTGGATGACTGAGAATTTTCACCAGCTATTAATGACTCAATCGGCCTGCCATAGCCCCACCTGCATTCTGCTCTGTGCTCGGAACCGTCAATAGCTTCACCGCCCCGGTGAAATGCAGCTAATTTGACCATGAAAGTGTATTTATTAAGCAAATGTTAGACTGAGACACACCTTTGCTATAACTTTGAGCAAACAAAATTTTTTTTAGGTGGTTATCTTGTTAAATTTTAAAGAAATGCAGCGGCTGCCCCAGCTGCGCGTACCCGCTTTGCATCACCGGGGCAGTAAAACAATTTTTTTTTTAATTCAGCTGATTTGACCATTAATGTGCATTTAGATTGATACACACATTTACTATAATTTCGAGCAAACAAATAATTGTTTTGAGGAGTTTATCTTGTTAAATGTGCACAGCAACTTGTCACGTGCACGCGTTTACTTCCGCGTATCAGGTTTTAAAATGCAGCTGATTTGACCGTCAAAGTGCATTTATTAAGCAAACGTTAGATTGATACACACATTTAATATAAATACAAGCAAACATAACTGTTTTTAAGTGTTAATCTTGTTAAGTTTTTGTTAAAGTCCTCCCGTGCACGCTCCCGCGGCCGCCGTTTGGTAGTCAATTGGGTTTTGGCACAACACTTCCGGGTTGTCAGCGGTGAAGCGTAACAGATGCGACGTATACGACAAAGTGACCTATTTATGGATTTTCCACTTTATTAGACAAATATGGACTGATGCGACTTATAGGGCGGTGCAACGTGTACGGCAAAAAATACGGTACTTGAAAAATGCCAGTTCAGTCCTGTAAGGTCCAACTTTCCATGACCAATTTAAATTTTGAATCACGTTCCTGTCATTAGGTACGTGTGAGCTGTGGAGCTGCAAAAAGTTCAGGGTCTTTCTTTCTTGTTTGGCAAATTTTATAAATGCTGTACATTGTGCCACCAAAAGTCAAAGCACACTATTCCCAGTCGAGTCCCACATTTTTATTTATTTATTTCTCCTGGATTGTTTTTCTTCTGAAAATAGTTTCAGGTTCCTATCATAGGATAGGAGAGTTGTGAATTGAAAATTGTAATAAAACAGAAAAATAACGGCCAAATAATAATAATTACAGGAGCACAGACTTGAGTTCAGACAAACAAATGTCAATAACTTTAAGTTAAAAATAAAGTTATTAAAAATAGATGATGACATACTACTGAACTCTCAGTTCTTGTGCTCTTTAAAGCTTCCTCACCCTCATGGATGAAGACGACCTCCCCTTTGTTTATGTGAGCCTGTGTGAAATTTAGGACGCTCTCCTCGGGCTCTTCTTTTAATGCCACCATCCCATTGGTTGGCATTTCAACGTGGTAAACCAGCTCCTCTGCGGGGGTATCTGCATCCTCTGTGCTCAGCATGCTGGAGGTGATATCAGCTTCTTCGCCAGCGAGAACCTGGAAAATATCAAAGACAGGAAGACGTAAAGATGAAGAGATGGCAGATTACCCAAGAGATCCATGCACATAGACAGATAACACACAGAGGCTGAGACAGATAGATGCCAGGAGGCAATAAAACAAATAAATAAGTATATTATATAGACAACAAGATGCAGCTTATCCCGCATCCATCTCTAAAGTAACAATTAAAAAAGGTTAATTATGCCTCTGCAGCCGTCTAGACGTTCCTGTTATTAGAAGATGGAGCACAGCAGTGCAGGCTGAACGACTCTCCCTGGGTAGAGGGCCTCTAATGGACTTCTAATGGTCGTCTGGATGAAAGGAGCATTAATTGAAAGAAATGGACCAGAGCCCGGGAAAGACATTCTTAAATAGCTGGGAGAGTAAGCCGAGGCCGCCCCACAGAAAGAGTTACGTATCGATCGGCGGAGCCATTCATCCTCCGGTACTTCTCCTCATCTTCCCCCTGGCTCTGGAGAAAGAGTGAGACGCCTCCAACAGGAGGAGGAGAGGAGAAGGTGCAGTCTCACGTATCAGCGCATCAACTTGCGGCTCACGGAGTCGCTTATCTCAAGAGATGAACCGGCCTTACAGCAGGTATAAACTGCTATTAAAGCTGTAAGCAGCAATGACGTCCCCTCATGGTGCCATGACTGAAGACTGTGCACCGCCTCCTCCACGTGTTCACACCCAGACACGTCTAAATACAGCATGTGGCCCTGTTAGCAAGCCTCCATAATAACACGTGGACGCATGAATATCCATACATCCATTATCTCTACGCACTTCCTTTTTGGGTCGCGGTGCCCACACCCAGCCATCACTGTGCGAAAGGCGGGGTACACCCTGGACAGGTTGCAAGTCCATCACAGGAGGTGTGACTGAGGTTAAATCAAATGTTTTGAGGAGCAAGAACTGCTTCTTTTGTTTTGGTAAAAACCTGGAGAGGACAGAATATTGACACTAGAAAGTTCCTGGAGAAACTTTGATGGAGACTGCCACGTTGCAGCCGTTTTAAAGTTTTGATTTGACAGTACTGTGTGTTGGGGTTCATGCTCAGCTACCACCATTCCAAATTTCAGCTCATTATGGCAAAAAAAAAATCAATGAGTTATATTTTCTTTTAAGCTATGGTGGCCATCTTGAATTTTTTAATTTGGATTCAGTATGTGATGGGGAACGTTCTCACAAATTTCAGCTCAGTAGCCAAGTTATCATAGTTTTCCCTTTTAGCTAAGGCAACCATCTTGGATATTTGATTTGCATCAGGAATGAAGAAAGGATCAACCTGCTCTCAGCTACGAACACAACACATTCCAGTTCAATATCTCCATGTGAGACTGAGTTATAATCAATGTTGAGTTTTTGAGGTAGCTGTGGCAGCCATCTTGAACCAAAATGGCTCCAAAAGTTAATCAGTGTTTTATTCAGAGACCTCTCCCCTCTAGGTCATGTGACCTCACTGTGGCCTAAAGCCCTATACGCACGGGATTAGTTTTACCTCGGGAGCACATGTAATAAATAAATAAGTAACTACCCAACGTCTGCTTTTTATGTGGCTCATTTGCACGGGGATAACCAACGCCTGAGATTTAGCTGAAATTTACAAACATCTTCTGGTTAAGCGAGCAGCGCGTTCATTTAAAATAGCCTTGTTCTATATTTTTCCCAAATTATTTTGCTTAAACAAAAACAAAAAATGTCTCATTACGTATCTATCCGCATCGGATTAGTATCATCACTGGACCCCGGAGTTCAGCAAAATATAGTAGGTAATTTGCGTGGGAATTTTTACTTTACAAATTACTGACATGGCTGATTCGCACGGGATTAACAACAGACAATCTCCGTAATTATTACAAACATGTGGTCTCTAGGAAAAACTAATCCCATACGAATAGGACTTTAGAGGCTAAGAGTTCTGTCAGTGTTTATCAATGAGAAAAATGGTGTCTTTGTTAGCAAATTACGTCGCCATGGTAACTTGAAACGCCAATACAAGTAGGTGCACACATCACGATGCTGAGCCGGTTGTTAACATTTGTGGGGGGACACGTTGCATTTCTGCCTTTCTAGGCACTCCACAATGAGGGTTTAGGGTCCTTCAACAGGTGGTTCAGATTTAGAAGATTTCATTAATTCACACCCAAGATGTCTGCAAGCAACAGGCAGAGCTGTGAGAAAACCTCGAGTTTTGATGTCCAGATGCATCCAGGCAGGTAAAATATTACGCAAAATAAATGCAGGTCAGATCAGAAGATACCTCAAAGAGTACGAGCTGCTTCTGTCCTGATTTCATGATATGGGCACCCAATTATATATATATATATATATAATCATGTATCATTCCTAATGAGTTTTAATTCAATTAAATTTATTTATATAGTGCCAAATCACATCAAAGTTGTCTCAGGGCACTTTACAGAAACATTCACATAAAAGCCAATTAGTAAAGTTCTCTATCTAAGGAATCCAGCAGACAAGATGAATCTTGGCTTGGTTTTAGAGCATGACTAGACTTTCAAAAATGCAATTCATTTCAGAAAAACATCAGGAGTAATAAAACATTTTTGTTTATTTAGCCATGAAGAGTTCAGGTATCAGATGTGCTCAAATGAACCTGTTGCAAGGACAGTTTCTTAGTATTTACTGCCAACTTCCTCTGAAACCAAAATAAATTTGCAAGTTGTGTACACGTCTAGAGCTACAGGACACTACACAAAAAAAATGGAGTGAATTTTAGGTTGAAAAACATCAAGTCAGAACTTAAATCCCACATGAAACCTCAAAGGTTAAAGTTGAAAAGAGGATCAGCATCTCCACAAAATGGTTCCAGTACAAGTTTTAAGTTCTGCCTTCATCGGGGTTGCCAGATAGGAAATGTCAAACTCTTTCAGAGGAGAGAGGTAGGGTGCTTGGCGGACACACTGATCTTCTAACGGCGTGTTGATGTTTGTGTGAATAAAAAGAACGGATTTTGTTTTGTGAGTGAACTTTTCTTTATCGTATCAATCCTAAAACTATGGCATGAACACGATAATTCTCTTGTATCTGGCAACGAATGGGACTTTGTCCTTTACGGAACTCATCTTAGTGAGTTTCTTTCAAGCGTTGATTCTAATTTATTCACTTAACCAGGGACTGCCTAGAAAGGCAGACACCAAGATGGTCTTGCTCTTCTATCAACTTTAATGTGGCCCCAACTGCAATGCGTACCCACACACATGTTATGTGCTATTACTTTAATTGGCATTTGAGTTACCATGGTGACGTAATTTGCAAACAAAGACGCCATTTTTAAAGAAAACTGACAGTCATTCTTTGAGTATTGATCTGAAATTTTGTATGGTCGTACATCCCTAATGCAAACCAAAATCCAAAATGGCCGCTTTAACTAAAAGGGGAAAACAAGATAACTCAGCTATTTTAAAAGATATTGAGATGAAATTTGATGTGGTTAAACGATTTCCGTCTTATACTATAAATCAAAAATCCAAGATGGCCACCAAAGCTCAATTTAAGCTACTTTTACACATAATGAGCTGAAATTTGATGTGGTTAAACGATTTCCGTCTTATACTAGATCCAAATCAAAAATCCAAGATGGCCACCAAAGCTAAATTTAAGCTACTTTTACACATAATGAGCTGAAATTTGATGTGGTTAAACGTTTCCCCTCACATACTAGTCTAAATCCAAATTAAAAATCCAAAATGGCCACCATAGCTTAGGGGAGAAATGACTACAAGTCATTGATCTTTTTGCCATGTTGAGCTGAAGTTTGGTCGTAGCCGAGAGCGAGTCGTTTTAAATTCATGATGCAAATCAAAATCCAAAATGGCTGCCTTAACTAAAAAGGAAAAAATATGATAACTTGGCTCTTTTAAAAGGTAATGAGATGAAAGCGATGTACAACATATTCTGAATTCAAATCTAAAAATTCAAGATGGCCGTCAAAGCTAATTTCAAATAGCTACAACTCAGCCATTTTTAGAGCTATTTAGCTGAAGTTTGGTGCGGCGGCAGCTGAGAGCAATGCCCAATTAATACTGAATTCAACTAAAATATCCAAGATGGCCACTAAAGCTACATTTAAATTGCTTTAACTCAGATATTTTTACACATAATGAGCTGAAACTTGGTGTGGTTAAACATTTCCCATCACTTACTAGATCCAAATCAAAAATCCAAGATGGCCACCATAGCTTAGGGGAAAAATGGCATCATTGATTTTTTGCCATATTGAGCTGACATTTGGTCTGATGGTAGCTGAGCGCAAACCCCAACACACAGCAAAATTTAAAAATGGCCGCCTCGGGGCAGTCCCCGTCAAAGCTCCTCCAGGAACTTTCTAGCTATTATTCAGATCTGAACTTTTCTAATGAGTTTAACGGTAATTACTTTATTAGAATAAGAACTTAAAGCTACACATTTCAAGCTCACTTTTCAGAAATCTGCTGGATCGAATTCCCCACAACAAGAAATGAGAGCGACATTCGATCTAGTTTGATAATGTGGATGATTTGATGGTAATGTAGTAGCGGTTTAGATCCACGTCAACACTTTAATTTTATAGGCACTAATGGAAAAAACAAGTTGGATATTTGAAACCAAGAGCGGGTTACATTTCTACATTGACAGAGTTTAATCTGTAACGTTTGGAGCTTTAGTGAAGCCAGACAAATGTTTTCTTTTGAAATCTTTTGTGCCGTCTCTGATACAACCTTTCAGACTCCGATGTAAGAAATGCGATGTGAAGTGTATAATTTAGCTGCCTTCCAGTCCACTGCACGAAACATCCTGCTCAGTTTCACACTCCATCAAAGCTCCATCGTGACGACACACACTGCATCCACGGATCGAAGCCGCGGTCCATCATCACCTTCAGACTTTTGTGTGTTACTCTGAGACTGTGTCTTTGTTCCGCTCTAATGATAAACTTTTATAACGGAGGACGAGTTCAAAGACGAGTGGAGTTTTAGTGGAAGTGAAAC